GGAAGGTTGTGCAACACTTTCCATTATAAGACTGGTTCAGTTGCTTATTATGTTGCCAACATTCAGCTGTTTGGGCTGAAATTTTCCATGCTGGGTGTCTCCTTCAGGCTGAATTTCTTGGGAAAGTTTCAATAAAAATACTTGAACCATTCCAGGGAATGAGAGGAGGGGGAAATACTATATTTTGTTCATGTTTATTAAAGCTGCTGCAAGCACTTGATTCAGAAATCATTGCACCTACGTGTTTTGGAGCAGGGAGCTGAATTATTAGGAAGGTGAAAGGGTGAGGGGGAAAAAAATGGGGCTAGAAGAGATTTCTTTCTAAGGAATGGGCTCCTCCCTGATGTTATGAACCATCTGCAAGAAAGCACACAAACCCCTTGCCTGTCAAAACAGGGTCAATGAATGGCTGGGAACTGAATGATTCTCCTTGTTCCGCTGCGCCTACGTGGTATATTGGATTTGGAGTGAGAGGCTTATGAGGTGCAAACACAATCCTGTGCCACAGGGAAGATGACTAAAATCTGCGTAGTGGTGGAACTAGAGGGGCAGGGTTATGGAGTTAAGAAGAGTTGAAAATAGCAGAGGTAGATTTGCTCAGCAAGGAGATCGGTCTGAAGATGGTGAGACTATTAAGCAAGGAGAAGGGATTTAACCTAAGTGGTCTTACAGCAGCTTTTGTTAGTTACAGTTCATTTTCTGTCTCTCACACATCTTGTGCATTTAAATGAGGCAGGGAAAATTGTATGCAATCATATAATTTAGAGACCAGTATTCTACCTTAATTCTAGCATGTTTCATTTCTGAGCACTTCATGTTGCAACCATAATGTACTTTCACCATGAAAATTAAAGCCTTAGTTGGAAATGTCATTCTATACCCATCATTAAAACACTTACATTGTAAGCTTTGAAGAACACTACTGTAGTTAGGCACAGGTATAATACTGCATTTCAATTAAAATACTGAAGAATGTTTTCTTCTAATTGATTTAGAAAAGGTTTTTTTTTCAAAACCTATTTGGAGCTGAAAAGGTTAATTGAATACTTGAGATATCAGGAACTGAACTTCTCAACAGACTCTGCCTTCTATTTCTCTCAGGTTCACAGTGTAGACAGCAAATGATGTTTTGGAAAATACCCAACATGCTAAGCCCAAATGGGAGTGAGTTAATAGGACAGGGAGAAGTTTCAGCTATAACTTCAAATTTTCCTGATTTTTATGGACTTCAACCAGACTGGTTATACCTTAATATTATTTTAACATTGTTATTTGTGGCTGAGCTTATTAAATAGCAGCGTTCATGCCATTGCTTTTAATATCTCACACTTGAGGTTATCTTCCAAGTCTTCAAGGATTTATAATGTTGCCATAACATTTTCTTAAGGAATAAGGCTTCCCATCCAGAAGCAAGCATGCATCATAGTACAAATTCAAAAAATAGTGAATTAGACATTTCCTAGCTGGAGGAGAGCAAATGTGTACTGAACGGCCATTTTATTTAGATCCTTTTACTTCTTTTTTTTCTTGAATGAAATTTAGACTTCTATTTGGGGACTGTTTTGTCAATAATATCTGCACCCTTGTTCAGAGAAGAGAAATTTAAAACTGAACTGTTACTATGGATATCTGCTTTTTAAATATTAACTTCATAAAAATGCCATATCTGGGTTTGACATGATGTATTGTCTCTGTTCAAAGAAGATAAGCTGTCATGTCACATACCTGTTTATTAATGTCTGCGGGTTGTGTTGATGTTACACATTATGGCAAAGATCCACTTATTAATGCCTTCATGGCATGGACGGAGAGCTTACGTCTCAGTATTGATGCCTTCATGGTATGGATGGACAGCATACGTCTCAGTATTAATGCCTTCATGGTATGGATGGACAGCATAGGTCTTCGTTGCACTAATGGTGCTTAGAATTTTATGCCATGGTGTTTTGAGGCTGTGTACACAAATTGCTTTTGAAAAAGAGCTGGGGGTTTTTATATCTAGGCCAATTTTTTTCTTTCATATTTCACACAGATGCCTAAACCCCCATTTTTTTCTTTCTCTCTTTGTCTTCCCCATGCAGCCCTTACTGTTCCACAAGAGCTGTTTTTTCTCAGAGGTCTCACCATAAGTGCAGCCAGGTCTGGACTCATGGCCAGTAGAATCTACCCAGCTTCTACCCAAACAGCCCACATGTTGCGAGCAGTCACAAAATGTTGGGTTTCTATGGAGCCTAAACAAATATAGTGATTCATATTAATTTAAACTGTTGGTTGAGGCCCAGAGAAGACATGACTGCCCTATACCACCATTTTGCTGTAACAGGTGTTATGTGTTGCTGTGAGACCAAATGTGACCCGATAGTCACGTTCAGTGCAATTGTTGTGGTACTGTGGTCTGCAGAGTCAGTTTGTCTAGCCAGCCTGTGGCCTGATCTTTCATACGATGGCAGGACAGAAACTGTGAACCAGATGACTGGTGTGGCAGTGTTCCCTCTGTCTCTCTCTCCTCAGGGTCTGCTGCTCCTCCTCGGGAGCTAAAGGTGGATCTCCCAGTGCTCTGTTTGATTCTGGACGTATGTCAGGGGTTGGTCCATGTGTTCTTGTATGCTAAGGAACGTCAAGTCACATGACAGGCGGTTTGGTCACATAGCAAATATAGTTGTCTCATGACAAGAAACTTGGTAGAGTGATGAGTTTGCCCCAGCTTGTGGTCAGGTACCCACATAGCTGTTTGCTCATTCACTCCCACGCCCCTGACCCCAGCAGGATGGGGGAGAAAATAGGAGAAACAGGAACAGGAAAACTTATGGCCCAAAATAAAGGGAATCACTTACTGAGTACTGTCATGGGCAAAACAGGCTCGACCTGGGGAATTTAATTTATTGTCAACTAGCATAAATATTTAATTACTGATTTGGCTACTGGTTATTGAGAAACAAAAGCAAAACCACAGAACACTTATGGGGGGAAAAAAGCCACCTTTCCTCTCCTACTGCTGCCGCAGGCCACACTCAGTCCCTTTGGTGAGGCAGCAAGTGGTGCAGGGGTTGGGGTCAGGTTGTCGTGGTTTCTCTCTGCTGCCCTTTGTCACTCTTGTCCTGTGCATTGGTGTTGGTCACCCACAGGCTGCAGTGCCTCCAGGTGAGCAACTGCTGCTCTCCACCATGCAGCACCTCCTGCTCCTCTGACCTTATTATTCTTTCATTCCCTCTGTTGTTTTCCTCCTCTGTTCCCTCCTCTTCTCTCACTCCAGCATTTTCTACTCCTCCTTAAATAAGTTTCCACTAAGGTGCCACCAGCTTCGCTGATAGGCTCATCTGTGTCATGTGGTGGGTCCATTGCAGAGCTGGCTGACACCAGCTGTGGCTGGCATGAGGCAGACCCCGACCTCGTCTTACCCTGCAGCCCCCCCTGCTACCAAAACTTTGCTATCTACACCCAATGCAACAATGCAGCATCTTTATTTAATTTCCTGCACAGTCTTGTTCTCTGTGGCCACTTCTATCCCCAAGTCTGCCTCATTCTCTTTCCTAGGCTCCACGGAGGAGAGTGTGACTATCGGAAGGAAGCCAGGTCACACTCATTTAGTCCAATACAAATATTTGCTGGTATTTTTTGTCATTCTGTTTCCTTATTGGATTGCAAATGTGAGTTTCTGGGTGACAGCTGGCTCTGAGGCAAGAGCAGCGTACCAGCTGCATTGCGTTCTCACCTCTCTGCATGCGCCCTTCATGGTTTGCCAAGGTTGCAAGAGCTCATTCTGTAAACCTTGTGTCTTGGCTAAAACCTTGTTTGTTCTGTCTAACCTGGTCAGACAAATGTTTGGGTGTAACTTAACTTTGCAGTCTGTATCATGTGCTAGTACGTATTATTTCATTCACTGACAAGCGTAGTTTGTACTGTAGCATGAAGGACAGAGGACTGTGGACAAAGGGATTTACTTTAGCCTGTCTTCTTAGGAATCCTTCAAGATGGCTCCTTACGCAGTGGAAGGGGAAGACAAAGGATTAAAATACTGCTTCAATGCTAAGTGCATGAAGTCTGAGTTGCAGAGATGCAGTTGTGGGGGAACCCCAGTCCTTTCAAGTGAGGGTTAATGCAGGTGCCAGCAGTGGTGCTTTGAATGTCAGCATAATGCAGTATCAGGCGTTCTGGTGTAACTCTGTGTAGGTGCTTGGAATAAACATGGTCTTTTTCACTTCAATTGTTCTTTTTTGGAAGGAATCAGAATAAAAGTGAAAAAAGTTATTTTTATTCCAGGTGAGAGATCCCATGCAAAAAGTTGCACTGCTGGAATTACTGCACTACTGGTGCACACCTTGCATCATGCTGGTGGAATTCCCTCTTAGCATCCCACAGAGATGAACCGTGAGTTGCATTAGGCGATCTGCAGCATATACCAAAGATCTACAGAGAGACCTGATTTGGTTTTCAAGAGCTGGGAGCTCCAGTTTGAGGAATTGCAATTTAATTGGACATCTTTATGTCAGGCAGCATTGTCTAAAACTTTCAGAAAACAGATGTGATTATCCTAAGTTGGAAATGATGTATCTACACACTCTAATTCATACTATCCCTTTGGCCTTCAAATCAATACATCTACCCCAACACTTTTCTCCACTATAGCTACTGTTTCACAGAAGGATTGAGTGTAGTTATTGCAAAAGATTGAGTATAGTGTAAGATTGAGTATAATATTGTGTGCAACGCTGATCTCTGGTTGGAGTTTAAAAAAACTTGTGTGTTTGCACATGATGCAAATGTCTAATGTAAGTTCTATTGAAATCAGAAGCAAATGGTCCAGATTTTGAACATTGGAATAAAGCTGTTGATGGAGTAGTTTGTATTCTTGAAATCTGTGTCGCAGAGGAACTTGTCATGGCTGAGTCTGAAGCTCTATTTGGTCACTGAGGGTGAAAAATACTTCTTTATCTTTACCTAAAGCTTGCTTATGGACAGTGTTTCATGCTTCTCATCCTCATGATTGTCCTTGTTCTAGATTTATGACTGATGCAGCTCGACGTGAGCAGGAGTCTTTGAAGAAAAAGATTCAGCCAAAACTCTCTTTGACTTTGTCAAGCACAGTGTCCCGTGGGAATGTATCTACTCCACCTCGCCACAGCAGTGGAAGCCTTACTCCTCCAGTCACCCCTCCAATCACTCCCTCCTCTTCGTTTCGCAGTAGTACTCCTACAGGTAAGCACCTACTGTTTGGTTTATCCCAAATAAACTAGCAATTTTGCTACATGGCATTTGGAGAACAATAGACATACTGAGGCATTAGGAAGAGCAACCCCTACAAATAAAACAGAAGAGCTTTGGGCTCTTTTATTGGCATTTGATTTGCAATCTCTAAAATGTGTTTGGGTATTTATTTCCAAACTCTTTGCTAAAGCAGAGAAGGACACTAACTTTAAAAATCGCTGCTGAAATTGTTACACGAAGAAACTAACCTTACCAGAAAGACAAAATGTGCAAAAGACCCCTGATGTATCAGTAGGAGAGCTCTGCACATGGTACGGTGCCAGTTTAAGATACAAGTAAAAATGGTTGGGATCTTCCCTGCTGCCCCTTTGCTTTGGTTTGTTGTTTGTTTGTTTGTTTGTTTTTCTGAGGGGGTTTGAATTAATGGAGTGGCCAGGGAGGAATGTTTAGCTGCTGTCATTGTATAGCCCTGACTTTCAGTAGGACTCTGTGTTCAAAAAAAGTAATGTATTAAAAAAGCAATCTGTGTTTTCTTCAAAAATAAGTATTCCAGTGCTTTTCCCAGGTATAAAATTCCTGGGAATTTTTTTGCACTGACTAGGGAAACTGAAAATTGCTCACTGTGCTGAACCAGATCTCTTGGCCCAAGTCAGTCTGGTTTACTTTAGGTAGAGATCTTGTCAGATAATTCTGATATACTTCAGATTAAATACCAGTATTTCCTACTAAAAAGCTAAATGCATAATACATGTATTTTCTTCTGTAATAAATAGGCTCAACATATTATTCTTAATATGAAATCACATGAGCTTCCCTGCTTTGATAAACTGCTATGCCATGTGTTTTATATAAGCTATTTAGTGTTTTAGTATTAATGATCAAATGGAAAAAATTGTAGCAGTCCTTGCAGCTCTCTGGGAAGTTCTGAAATGAATTGGTTGTTCAGTATGTCCCTCGATATGAAAAAGGGAAGCATGTTGAGAACAGCTAAATTGTAAAGTCCTAATTTAATACAGAAATTTTTAGAAGTAAGATTTTCTTAATTATCTCCTATTTGAAACAAACTGATTCATTTCCTTGACATCTGTAGGATGTCAAGGAATTTCTGCTTTCTTTTGTTTTACTTTTTGTACAGCTCCTCCTGGGAAGGCTAATTCATGATGTGGTCAGGTAGTATCACTTTGCACATCTGTCAGAAACATTGGTTAGCAATGTACTCTTTGAAACATGTTCCATCAAATAGTAAAGAAAAAAAGCCAATATCTGTCTACTGAAATACTTTTATTATTTATATATTTTTCAAACTTTTAAAGTTACTCAGAATGTTGGTTTACCTGTAGCTAGGAGAACCAGCTTGTTTTAGCTAACTGAGTTTCTTGGAGTCCCATCTGCCAGGTTATAAATAATAGCAGCTTCCACTTTCTGCACCCTCTGTTCCAAGTTCCCCGTTGGAGCCCGTTCCAAGGTTAGAGTTTTTCATAGACTGGTAGCAAAACCAGTATATTCTTTCTTGAAGATTTTTTTTTTAATCAACTATCAACTGAATTGCATTTCAGCAGCCTTACCCCAGAATTTCAACTTCTGTCATCTTAAAATTTTTTCTGGACCTAAGACAAGCATTGAGATTTTTCTGATAGCTACAGAATTTTTTGCCGTGTTTGCTTGGCGTAGGATTTTGTTCTGCATGATGGTTATAACTTACATAGATGAGGTGCTCCAAGTCCAGCCATGGCTGAGTTTCTCTTTCTGTCAGTGCAGTGCCTGCAGAGGGAACCCAGGAAGGCCAGCAGAGTAATTTTAGATAGGCAGCTCACATGTCTGTTATTGGCTGATGTGAATCTTTTTCCCTCAAGAACAAGTATATATGGCAGTCGACTAGCAAGGTAATAAAACCAAATATAGTTAGGCAAGATCTGTTTCAGGGAAACAATTTAGAGTGTGTAAATCGTCCTGCATTTCAGCGTCACAGTGCCTACACAACTTTCAAGCCCTACAGGCATACCCTCCACTGCATCCAGTGTGAATGAAGAATATTGCTGTATTCCTTCTGTGTGATCCTGTTTGATTTGTACTCCGAGCAAACTCTTTGTTAACTCATCTTTGAATACAGGTAAACATGTATGTTGTGATAATTTCAGAAAATAAAGAGGCTGTTTTCCCATAGGTTGCCTGAAAGGGCAACATCTGGGTTGATATTAAGTATTTTAATAATCCAAATATAATTGTTTTCTGCATCCTCCTTTAGACCTATACTTTGTCAAAAATAAAATGGGATTGCTTTGACCCAATTTATTAATGAAACACTCAGAATGGCAGTTTCTCTTTTTATTATTTCCCACCTCAGTTGTTCAATACTTTGTTAGGGTACCAAACTTCAGCCTGGCATTACTGTTACTGCACAAGGTGTGACTCCAAGATGGTGTCACTTTAGACGCCAGAGAGAAAGCACGCCTTACAAGCTGGTGGGATGGCATACAGTATGTGTCCCTCAGGAGAGAGTGTCTGTCTGACATTCTTATTCAAGGTAGAAAGCAGGAACCTCACTAATCTTTTGGGTCCCATTTTCCATGTAGTGTCCTCCCTTTGGGTATGCTGCTTGTCTTGGCTTTGCTAGGTGTGGTAGTCTTATCTTGGGTGAAGCCAGCAGTTGCCTGAATTCCCATCACCTCTGTGCACATGCTAAGTCCCACCATTTCCTGATGCTGTTAAGCTACTGTTGTCGTTTTTCAGCAAAGTGTAATTTCATATAATGATCTCTCATCCATGTATTGACCAGGCTCAAACCCACTTAGCTTGTGAAATTTGATAAGAAGCAGTTCAGGGTGGTTTGGCTGCAGAGAATGTTTGTTAAGTTTTGCCGTAAAAATCCATGCCAAAAGAGTATGAGCCAAGTTCGCAGGCAGAGCTGAGCGGCTTCCAAGCTGACACACATACATTCTGCAAATGTTGCATGTGTATGTAGAGCACTTTCTTCTGCATAAATGAGATTATTCATGTAGAAGAAGAAATATTCAGTGGAGAAGTGTGCTCTTTAAGGCTCTTCTCAGGTAATGAGGTAGACGTGTATTTATCTGCAGACTCTGTATGTGTTAGTCCCCTGAAGCGGCCCGTTTGTGGTTTTGGTGGGAAGTAGAAATGCAGCAGTTAATTTTCTATACCTCCCCTCTGTTCCCTCAGGGGTGACTGGCATGTGCTCTCCGCTTACATTTGGCTTTTTGTTCCCTCTCCTATAACAAGTTTTCTCTTCTTCTTAAGACCTGTATTGTCTAATGATTGCAGAAAGTTCACTTTAAAAATTCGTTGCAGTTTTTAACAGTAGTGCGTCTTGGGAGACTTTTTTTAGTAGGCTTAAATGCTCTTGTTAGAGTTCACAGGCAGGATTTAGCAAAAGAAATGGCTGCCATCAGCAATACAGATTCCTTAGGGTGACAGGGAAATATAGCTAAGTAGCACCAGCACATAGCTTATTTTGGAAAGACGTTAACAGTCTGCAAACGTTGAAATATCTCTTTATTTAAGAAGCGCTCAATTAAGTCACAAAAACTTATGTTGCCTTTATTTTTAAATGTCAATTTTAAAACCACAAAACTAACGAAGTCTAGTTATGAATAAAAATGGGGCTGACATTGCATCTTTAACATACGCTGTTAATTTTTTAAGTGTTTTCATACATCTGTGCGGCTCACAGATGAAAGTTCCACCCCTAACTTCCTGGCTTTTGAGAGTAAGTCAGAGCATTGACATTCTTTTGAAAATTATGATATCTGTTCATACTGAAAAGCTTTTAAAAAGATTCAGTGATAGTAACTTATTGTTAATTCATTATTAGAATAACCTGGTCCCAATTTTAGTTACAAAAGAAATTAATAGTAATGAATCTCAACCTTAAAATAAAGCCACTTTTGCATTGAAGGAGTGCCAAAAATCATCTGAAAACACTGTTTTGTGTTCGTTTGTTTTTTCTTCCATATTTATGACTTTTTTTTTTTTTTTTTTTTTAAATTATTCTAGGGCTGAGATAGTAAATTTCAGCCTGGAGTGAATTTTTGGCCTTCTTACAAATCTTAAAGTAAGAGTTTAATACTACCAACTGGCTTTTTAATGGCTCAACCCTAAGTCTTGCCAACCCCCCCCCCCAAAAAAAAGCTGGCGTATTTGAAAACCTCATAATTAGCATTACATTTTGCTCTGAAGAAGCTGGCTCTCAGACCTCCCTTCCTGTTTATTTTGATTTTAATAGATTACAAGTTATAACATTTATGCTGTTTTAATAGGTTTATAGACCTACTTACTGCCTGACCGTGGTGGGCAGCGGATGGCAGCCGGTCCTGGCAGCGAGCATTGAGGATGCTATGGTTGGCTGGAGTA